AGTGTGATATTATGACTTTTATATGAGAGCAATGAAGTATGACTAAGTCATTAGATCAGCAAGAGCATTAAGAAGTGTACCCGAGATCATATGTAGGCCGACAAGGTTTTAATTAAGTTTACGATATTTTTCATGTGTGCCTAGATAGTATAGTTGAGTTGTCAATGTGGGGTAGGGTGATGTAAGAATTATTTAGTACCCTTGAAAGTTTGGTCGATGGGATCATATAGTCAATACGGGTAACGATTATAGAAACATTTCTATAGAAGCATGGAGAGGTTAAGAGAAGCATATGAGAAAGAGGTCTTAGAATGAATCTTAGTACCTGCATATGGAGAGTTCAGTAGCCATGGGATTAGTCTTTCTTGAGTATTAGAGTAAATTGAATATAGATTAGTATAGAGATGATGGAATAGATCCATAACTTTAAAGTATCAGCATCAGACCTAAGGGGAGATGATAAGATGAGAAACCAAGTCAAGTCTTGAGAATCAGATAGCGATGTGTTTAGACAAAGTTTTAGAGAAATATCAATCCATTCATAATATTGGATATTTCTCAAAGTTCAGTCATTCCAATATCTTATTGATGTTTCTAATATCATAATTGTGTCCATAACTTGTGCTCATACACTTCAGACAGATTTACATCTATGCTCAGTTCCCCGAATGAGGGGTAAAAACTTTAGCCCATTGATCTCAATATTTACTACATAAAGTTATGGATATCAACCTCATGATATGAACCTATTCATATAAGCACTCGTGTCTCATAGTATGCTCAGTCTCATGAATTCATGATTTACTCTCAATGGCTTGCAACATAATGGTATGTCATGCATATTCTTATATCAGAATTCTCGAATAAATCGTGCTTATGATCTTTCGTCCTAAAGTTCTTTCAGTGATCCTTTTTAGTTAGAGAGTGATGTTGATGATAGTAGTTGAGTGTTTATAGAAGGAGAAGGTTGATGTTTCTCATGTTGGTAGTAGTAGTGTGCTTATTCCATCTAAGGTTATAAAAGTGGAGGAAGGATGACTAAAGTTTTACTATGAGTAATAGTTAGGTGAGTGTAGTTAGTTAGTTCCTGATAGTAATGTGTGTTATTTTAGTTGATAAAGATGACGAAACGAGGAGGAATTCTTAGAAGGATTGGTTAGTTGGATTCCATGGATTGGTTATAGTACTAAGTTTGAATGTGGTATGGTTACATGTGGATGAATACATGATGTATTTGATGCTTTTTGACTAGGACTCAAAGTTTGGTTGAATGTAGTGGTGAGGAGAAGTATTTATGGGATGAGATTTCCTATAGAGGAATAAAACCTGGATCTTGTGGTTTAGATTAGTATAAACATCTCATGTTTAGCATCTTGTGATTTGGAGATTAGGCTTGAACATATTAAGAGCATACAATTTAACTTAGACCTTGGTAAGAGTAGTCATAAACTATTGTAGGAGTTATGAGTTGCAGCTAATGAGGTGCAGTATTCATAAAGGAGGTCATGGTTTAGAGGTGTTGCTAGGCTTGAAAGCTAGATATTGTACTACTTAAGGCATAATAGTCTTATTCATGCCCAGATACCTTTTTTCATGTAAGATAACTTCAGATAGAGTGGGGTTATGTTCAAAAAAATATCGTTCTTGACTTATGTGCTATAGACAGTTTCAAACTATTTGTATCAATCAGTTTTACCTATGTTAGTAGGTAAGCTCAGAAGTAAAGAGAGGTAGTGATAGTAATTCTTTTCCCTTCCATTCTCAACTTTACCATCATTCGAGGACGAATGATCCTAAGAGGGAGATATTGTAACACCCCAAAAATTTCTAAGTTAAGACCCGAACCATTCTTGAATTGTGTATAAGGTCAAACCGAGTGATTCTTAATTTTTCTTAGATGCTAAGGTCAATTCATTAGTGTGGCAATGATTTTGGATATCAATTAAGGTCACTAGAATCCCGTAGCACAAAGTTGAGTTGAAAGTTTCCTTACTGATTAAGTTTTGACGTAAGATTCTACATAGGTCAATTTCAAACTATCATATCTCTTAGCACATTATGAATTAGGTGACTCATGACCTATAAAATTAAAGGTCTTTGAATCCTCTTTTCAACACCATCAAGTTTACATTATTTCAAGTTCGAGGGTCCTATCAGACAGTCAAAGGTTCATGGACCACTATATGGCTCGTGAAGTGTTTCACGGACCATGGAGCCTTAAACGGTCCATGAAACTTTTCTTATAAGGCACTGTTCTAGTTTTTATATTGGGGTCATTTTGGCCTTTCCCCTATGTCGTTTCTAACCCTATTCTAAGTTGTTTTTTAGGGTTTTAACTAAGTATATCATTCAACTTACTAGTTTTTCTCTCAAAATAATCAATCTAAACATTCAAGAATTTAGAAATTTTCTTAAAACTTACCTAGGGTTCTTGGAGAACAAGAACCCTAAAACCTTCCAAGTCAAAAATCAAAGATACAAAGAGAATTATTCCACCCAAGGTTTTCCCATGTTCTTCCACTCTAAGAACTTCTTAAAAGAGTTTCTTTTATCAACATCAAGATCAAAGATTTCTTCCAAAAAACCTAACGTTCTTCCTCTAGTTCAAGATAAAATCAAGTCTCCACAAAAGCTTTCAGTCTAATAGCTTCATAATCAGGTATGTATGACTATTCATAGTGTTGGGATAGTTCGACTTCATGCCCTACATCCTAATTCAGCTAGTAGAAAGTTGAATCTAAGGTTCTTCCCTCATTTCTATGAGATTCCTATATTATGAGATTGCGATACTTTATGCATTGAAATTCTTGAATTATTGTTCATGTTTGTAGTTTCATATGAACTCTATATATATTGATTTTTACTAAAAGCATTTTGAGCGAGTAATTTTCCTTACATTGATTTTGAAAATTAAAGTGAGTTTTCTAGAAAAGTTTAAAAGCATTATTTTGAAAAAGAGTTTAAGGAAACTTAAAGGGTTCCGAATGTATCATTTTTATATTGAAAAAGAGAGAACTATTTTTAGAAAATTATAAGAGTTTTCAGTTTTTATATATCGATCTTGGACTTGAAAGATAAGTTCGTAAGTATATGTTTTAAATGCAAGTTTTGAACAGTGTCTTTTAAGAAAGAAACAAATGGTTTCATATCTACTATTTGACATTTGAGAAAAAGAAAGGGTGTGATTGACGTTTTTGAAAAGTACTTCAGTAAAGTAATAGTCCCTTTCTTTGAAAGGGTGATTGAGCAAAGTAAAAAGTAAAGTAATAGTCCTTTTCTTTGTAAAAGGTGATTGAGCATAAAGAATATTTAATATTTTGGGAGTAGTATCAAGCACCGAATTGGGTAAGAATCTATTTTCAACTCATGTCTCATAAAACTACGTAGCAACATAGGATAGGATCGCACCTATTTATCGTGTGACTCCTCACTTCCTCTGAGAAGGCCTATTAGATGGATCCTTAGTTATAGTAGTATCCTATACCCCGGCAAGGTATAGGATGGCCCTTGCAACGTGGGTGAAACGGTGTATCATTGATAGGCTCATAGTAATGGTTGTCAGTTAGAGAAACTCCCCATAAAGTAAAATATATTAGTTTCCTATTACTTTTATTGCATATATTATTGTAAAGCTTAAATGGTTTTCACTTCATGTTCATGTATTGATTGAGTTGAGTTGCTTCCAGTCATTGAGTTCAGTTCAATGTACTGATGTCATTCGACCTGCATCTTTTTATAATGCAGACACAGGTGTCCAGGATCATCAACTGACATGTTGTTGAGATCAATTTGTACTTCAGATAGCTTGGGTGAGCCTCATTTCATTTCGGGGGACTTCACATTTATTTTCTAGTCAGTTGTCTTGAGATATCGTGGTTCTTTTTCTGACATCCATCTTGAGTAATAGAGGCTTCTAGATAGTTAGCATCGAGGAGCCTTTCAGTATTTCCTTTCCTTTAAAGATGTTTTGCAAACTATTATATTTATTGCAATGAGTACTTTCATTATTTGAGTTGAATTGTATTTTGAGAACAAATTCTTTTTTAGCCTATTATTGCTTGAGTGGGTCTTCCGCTAAGTAGGTAGTCAGGCCAAGCGTTCACTTGGGGATCATAAATGATTCTCGAGTGCTGGTCACATTCAGAGTCTAGGCTTGGGGCGTGACATAAAGTTTCCTCACTAATAGGTATTATATACCTTTTGTCTACAATATCTCAAACATCTTAAGAGCCAAGAATTACTTTCATTCGTAGACACCATTTTTCATCATTTTCTCTTATGAGAAAGGGGTACCGAAAGGACAACGAACTGTTATTTGTCATGTCTTTGATACCACGTTGTTGGACAAAATGATAATCACACCCATGATATTATCCATGCTAAATAGCAATAGCAAGAGAATAACAACGACATCAAATATTAAATTGGGTTAAATATGATACACGAATAAGTAATACATTGATATTGATGAAAATTTGGTAGTGTCAAAAAACTATTACTCTTATATAAGAATAACACTATTTTATTTCTTACAACTCACAATAATATTACTTCCACACTATCTTCTCACAAACTAATAGCCTGTAGATTACTCTCTCTACTCTATAGTACTTTCTTTATTTTGGTGCATCATCAAATGTTCAATTATTACTTTATTGATAGAGTTTTGAACCTCTTGATTACATCATTAATGTCACAAAGGTGGCAGTCAATTTCCACAAAGTTTGGCTGTCAAACTCTACAAAAAACTAACTACCAATTTCCACAAATGTGGCTGCCAACTTTCACATTTGTGGCTATTAATTTCTACAAGTGTGGCTGCCAAATTAGTTGCTGCCTTATTTTGTTCCCACATTAAAATGGAACAAGTAATTTTGGTCTTTTTATTTGATAAAAAGATGCATGCACTAGAAATAGATAAAACCTAAAACACCAAGGAGGGAGGGGGGGGGGTGGGGGGGATGCCACAAGAGTGAAATGGCAAAGGAAATTTTAAACCATTACTGTTGATAAGGAGTGACAATTAAGTAAAGGTCACCCTTTCTAGAAGCAGTTATTCTAGACAATTCAATCAAGTCTAAGTCTCTTGGCTCTATTCCAGTAGGAAGTTTCCAATCGAAGTGATAAAGCAATTGAGCCAACGGCAAATATATATTAGCTAAACCAAACGATATTCCAGGACAAATCCTTCTCCCACCACCAAAGGGAAGAAACTCAAAATTGTTACCAACAAAGTCCATAGAGCACTCTTCAAATCTCTCAGGTTTAAAGCTTTCTGCATTATCCCAATATTTTGGATCTCTTCCCAATGCCCAAACATTAACCATGACTTTGGTCTTCATAGGGATAGTGTAGCCATTTATTTTAGTTTCTTCTCTACATTCTCTTGGGACCAAAAGTGGAATTGGTGCATGAATTCTCAATGTTTCCTTAATGACTAGTTTCAAGTATTTCAGATCTTCCACATCATTTTCACCGAACTTTACTTTGTTTCTAAAAGCTTCTCGCACTTCTGCTTGAGCTTTGGATAATAAAGTTGGATTTTTGAACATTTCAGCCATAGCCCATACAGTTGTTGTTGATGAAGTTTCTGTTCCAGCAGCAAACAGGTCCTGCAATTAATGGCAAGTTACAATATTAATTTTTTTTTGCGATAGTTAAATAAGTAAGAATAAGCATAGTATATATTGAATACTTACAATAATAACAGCTTTGATATTGTCGTTGTTGATTGGAAATTGAAGACTTTTATCATTCATAAGTCTTAGAAGGACATCAACTAGATCTTCACCACCTATTGAATCGTCACTTTTGCGAGTTGCAAGGTTCTTCTTGTGCTCTTTGATGACATCCTCAACAATTGAATCTACCTTACGATGGGCATTTAGAAGTTGTTTCTTCGCTCCACCAAAACCATGAAGAAATTTGTATGAAGGGAAGATATCAGCCACATCAAATCCTTCTGTTAAGCTTATTACTTCTCTAATTAACTTTATAAATACTTCTTGCTCCTTTAGTACTTGCCCAAATGCTGATCTACATGTCATGGAACTTGTGAACCAAATGATCTTTTCCGTAAAATTAACTGGCTCACCAGAAAAAGAAGATGATTGGATAGAGTCAATGAGACGAACAACTTCATCACGCCTGATCGAGCTGAATGATCGTACATTCTTTGCACCCAACACTTCCATAACACAAATTTTACGCATTTGTCTCCAGTACTCACCTGTTAGTATAAAAATTGTCAGGTGTTATGCAACGTCTAACAAAATAAATCTGGGATGACAATGAAGAAAAATATATCAAAAGAGACATAACAATGTAAAATGGTAATTTGGTCATCAATTGTAACCAATATATGTATATTCTCTTCTCTTCTAAACAAGACTTTTTTAAGGTATGAAGGATTATATATAGATTTTTTTTTTATGAAAAGTAAACCCAATAATGAAAAATGTTTTGTGAAAATACTAGGCAAACGCCTTACACTCACCGTAGGGGATAAAGGCGATGTCTCGCCTATTATAACAGATAATGTCGGTGGCCAAGAGGCTAGGCCTAGATGCGAAAGCGATGTCATGAATTTTTAGTACTTGTTTTGCCATATCAGGAGAAGTAGCCACAACAGCAGAAACTTCACCAAGCTGAAGGTGCATGAGCGGTCCATATTTTTTGGCTAAATCTCTAAGAACACGGTGTGAAAGTCCGCCAGCCAGGTGATGCATACTTCCTATAAAAGGAAGTTTCCATGGACCTGGTGGCAATTTTTTAGTTTGGGTATTATTTGAGTACTTTTTCCATTTCCTTAACAAAAAGAGGAAACATAGGAAAAGGAAAATGGAAACCATTTGCATTTTGGGATATTTGATTCTTCAAACCTCAATTGAGTGTGCTCTTTTATAAGCTTCTGCTTTTGGCAACAAGAGGGATATGTAAATAATAACCATATATTTTTTTCAGTAACCTTTGTTTGTCAACATCTTATCCGAGACTTTGTTTACTATTTCATCCGTCTCAATTTATGTGACATAGGTTAAATTTCAAGAGTTAAACTTTATAATTTTAATTGTGAATTCAAACATGAAAGTGTATGTATAGATTATATCACTTATATGGGGTAAATTAGGATTCAATGACTTTTGGCGTACTTTGTACCTATGGCAAATAGAGGAAATAATTAAATTACTATTAATAAATATTAAAAATAAGAAAAAAAAATCTTATCTCTTGGAAGAGTCTTTTAAAGAATGACAAAAAGTTCAATCAACATTTTTAAAGGCGCTAAAAAGTATTATCCCAAAAAAAGTTAAATTGAATTATTGATGTTACATTTAAAAAAAAAAAAAAACAAGAGCCAGTTTGATGTTATTCTTACATCTACTTTTACAACTTCACCATGTAGAAGTAGGGGCAACACATTTACCGACAATTATAACATTTAAAAGCCCAAATTATATTTCATTTATTAAGAAAGTACTTTTATATGCTCAAGGACTTGTACGTGGTCTACTCACAATAGTACTTTTTAACTATGTCCTTGTTAGTTGGGACAATGAATTAAGGGTTATAAAAAAGTTTCAAAATTAAGGATTGGTGACTCAAGTTTTAATTATTGAGTAGGGGTGACAATTTTTAAATTAAGAATTAAGGGATTGCATTTTTCATCCCTAAGTTTTTTTTATTTAAACTTTAGTCCATCTTATATAAAATCCTAAATAATAAGAAATGGAGGGAAAAAAAGTGTACCAACAGCTCAATTTTTCCTTTTTCTCTCTTGCTTATTCTTCCCATTGTTGGGGGACCATTGTTGCTGCTCTTCTTCTTCATTCTTCTTCTCCATCATCATTTTTCTTCTTCTTCTTGTTCATCACCATTTTCTTCTGGTTGTTCATCATTTTTTTCTTCTTCAATTGATAATCACATTGTATTGCTGCTTTCAGACCAATTTTCATTCATATATCACTGGACATTACATCATAGGTGATTTTGGTAAGTAAACTAATGATTTTTACTCTAATTTTTCATTTTGATAGTTTGAGTGTTTCTTCAAAATTTTACAGCCCGTACCCAACAGGTAAGTCATTTGTTGCAACAGATATATTACTTGTTGGATACATATTACAGTACCATGTCAAGCTGGGACTGAACCAGAAGCTTCTCCCAACAGATAAGTCATTTATTTCAACTGATGCGTCATCTGCTGCACCAGATGACTCATTTGTTGCAACAGAGGGCTTACCTGTTGGATACATATTACAATATCAGACCAAGCTGGGAAAGAACTAGAAGCTTGTCACAATAGATGAGCCATTTATTGCAACATATGAGTCATCTGCTGCACTAGACGACTCATCTGTTGCAACATATGGCTTACCTGTTGAATACATGTTACAGTACCAGGCCAAACTAGGACAAAATCAGAAATTTGTCCAAACAGGTAAGTCATATATTGCAACATATCAATTACCTATTCTAACAAATCAATTGCCTGTTGCAACAAATGACTCATCTGTTACAACAATTGACTTACATGTTGGATAAACTTCTGGTTCTGGACATGTATCCAATAAGTGAATCATCAGTTGCAACAAGTGAATAATCTGCTACAATGGATGACCTACTTGTTGCAATAGATGATTGACTTGCTGGGACAATGATTGTGCATATGATTTTTAACTGTATATAGCCACTCAACTTTACTATACAATCATTATTAAATATTTTTAATAAATTCCTTTAGGTACCATTAATGGAAGAATCAATAACAATAGCTGTTGATTGTTATGGTGAATGGATTGAGAAAAACAATCGATTTATTTGGCGTTGGAAGGATGGTGACATGTCAGAGTCAGTATTGATGACTGTCCAAAGGGATATTTTGTATAATGATTTTGTGAACTCAATCATTAGCTATTGTGGACTAAATTGTCAACCAAATGATCTTGTCATCAGTTACATGCACAAGTCTTTTGAAAATCAGAGGGTCCTGCCTTTTAAGATAAGCAATCAACTTCGTTTGGGTGCTTATCTGAGTGATGCAACTAGGTCCATTTTAAGGGTGTACGTTGTTGAAAAACCGATAGAGAATGAAAATGTAGGACAAGACCAACAAAATCTGTTAAATGATGAATTGAATACTCCAGATGATGAGATTGGACATGATGTGGAGGAGGACCAAACCCCTACACCTATTGTTGATATAAGGGGCAGTTCTCAGTTAAAACAGTTGAACAATCTTCAAGATGATGAGACAGGTTTTTACATAGGAATGACATTCAAGAACAAAGACGAACTAGTCACTTCATTGCATATTGCTTGCTTGAAAAAAGATTTCAGACTTGCAAAGGTGACTAATTCGCGTAGTGTGTATTGTTTTAAATGTGCACATCCAGAGTGCAAATAGTGGTTAAGGGTTGTGAAATTCATAAGTTCTGATAGATTTTGTATTAAAATTTATAAAAAGTATCACACATGTGGTTCAGAGCATATTACGAGTCATAATCCACATGCCACAGCAAAAGTCCTTGGTAAATACTTCAAAAATAGCTTTCCTAATGGTAAAGGTCCATCTACAAGAGATATGACCAATCAACTCCGTACAGAATTGGGTTGTAAGGTGAGTTATTGGAAGATATATAAGGGTAGGGAGATTGCAAAGTCTTTGGTTAGGGGAACACATGAGCACGGGTATGGAGTGCTTGATGCATACCGCTATATGCTTGAGTCCGCAAATCCAGGAAGTAAGACGGCATTGCAGGTTGATGAAAATGGAAAGTTCAAGTACGTTTTTGTATATTTCACGAAAGGCGTATGGAGTTGGTCAACTCACCAAACATATTTGTTCCTTCAATGGAAAAACAAATATCAAAGAATATCAATTTGGGAAATAAGTTATTGGCCCATCAAATAGCCAATTACAAGTTTAGTATCAACGGTCATGGTGATGTTGCCACGGTCGATCTTCAAAGAAGAATGTGCACATGTAGAGTTTTTGACTTGGACAAAATACCTTGTCCACATGCTATGGCAGCGCTTCGATCCCAATATGGTGCACATTTTGGAAATCAGATCTATGAGTACTCGTCTTCATATTATTCGGTGGAAAAATACATAATTGCATATTGTGAGGAAATTAATCCGGTGCCTCCTGAAGATTCTTGGATTGTTCCTTTGGAGATATTGGAGAGAGAAATACCTCCTCCATATGTTGACCCAAGCAAACCGGGAAGAAGGCGAACGAAGAGGAGGCGTGGAGTCGGGGAATCATTTCCAACAAGAAAAAATAAGTGTTCAATATGTAAAAATATTGGACACAAGAGAACAACATGCCCGGTTCGAAATGCTCCATAATTATTGTAATAGTGAAATAGCTATTTTGTACTTAGTTATGAATCTGATAATTGTAATTCATTTTGGTTAATTTTGTATGTTCATACTTATTATATACAATATATTAGTTATGCTCATTCGTTGCAACAAACTTTGCATATTTTGCATTAGATGCGTTATTTATTGCAATAGATAATCCATCTGTTGAAAATAATCAAATAAATATGATCATCTGTTGCAACAATTATAGGAATCTGTTACAACAAATATCTAATATGTATTATCTGTTGCAATAGATGACCCATCCAATGGAAATAATCAAGCATATATGCTCATTTGTTGCAATGGATGCTTCATCTGTTGCAATATATGAGCATCAGTTGCAACAGATGAGTATATATGTTTGATCAATTTCAATCGACTCTATATTATTTTGATATGAAATGCTTCATTAACCCATAATTGGTGATAAATAAACTTATTTAATTATAATTAACTTTCAATTAATAAGTTCAATTACATTTTCGATGCATTATAGAGTAATTACATGATCAGCTAACTGTATTCGTCTTAAATAAAGTGATCAATTTATTATTTTGATATGAAATGCTTCATTAACCCATAATTGGTGATAAATAAACTTATTTAATTATAATTAACTTTCAATTAATAAGTTCAATTACATTTTCGATGCATTATAGAGTAATTACATGATCAGCTAACTGTATTCGTCTTAAATAAAGTGATCAATTTATTATTTTGATATGAAATGCTTCATTAGCCCATAATTAGTAATAAATAAAGTTATTTAATTATAATTACCTTTCAATTAATAAGTTCAATTACATTTTCGATGCATTATAGAGTAATTACATGATCAGCTAACTGTATTCGTCTTAAATAAAGTGATCAATTTATTATTTTGATATGAAATGCTTCATTAACCCATAATTGGTGATAAATAAACTTGACTGATTTAAATATCTTTTTTTCTCTTGGCTTTCTTAAGCGTGCAACTTTAGGAAGAGGTTTAGA